AAATGTGGTCATTTTGTAAAGTCCAATTCGTAAAGGTTTTAATTTTGTTTTTCATTCTTTTATTTTCCTTTTTGTGGTTTGCCTCATGTATGTTGGTGGAGAGTTATAGGTTAAGCTCTTAGGAAACCTTTACGAGACCTCACTCGTCCTCATAGGCGACTTTGGGGTTTAAAGGGTTTGTTGTAGCTAAAAACAACCGTGATTCCTACGTTAGTGAGTCTTAGTGTATATTCCCATCTTATGTCTTTCTTTTTCTTTTTGAATAAGTCTTTCATCCTTATTCTTTCTTGCTTTATTTTTCTTGAGGACGAGAAAAAGTTTATCTTGGGGGAATTTGATGAGTGCACTCATTTGGTTCTTTTTAGGGTGAATTTCATGCTATTCTATAGCTCTTTACTTAGCTTTTCCTTAATTTTACTCTTTATTTCTTTTAGTTAGCATTTTCTTTGTTGAATTTCTATCTTTATGCATTTCTTGATTTATTTTGTTATTTTCTCTTTTATGTGCTTGTTTTCCTTTATTTTTCAGGTTAGGATCGTTATCCAAGTTTCCCGAGGCCTCTTCCTAAGTTTGGCATTGATTAGGATGTCTAATGTTCTCCATTTGAAGCTCAAGCATGGAGAAGTGCAAGTTCCTAAAGTCCTTAAGCTGTGCATTCAAGCCGTGGTGGCATGATTTCTCGTGTTGAACCCACAAACATGGAGTTTAGAAACTGCAAGGTCCCGTGTTTATCAAGAGCATTAAGTGGAACACACGAGGAGCATCATCATGATAGGGAAGAAGGCTGCCCTCTTCCCAGGCACGGGCGCGCGCGGCTAAGCCGCGATCGCGCGGCCTGGTGGCGCGGGGGCGATTGTCTGGGTCTCTGTTCCGTACCCAGATTTTTGCGGCCGCGCTCTCCCCTATAGTTGGTCGCGTCTGTACGGGTTTATTTGGGGACGATGTAACTAACTTCTCTTAGTTAGTTTTACTATATATAGATTTTCATTCTATTTTTAGAGGGATAAATTTTTCAGAAATTAGAAAAGAATTAGAATTAGAATTTTAGAGAGAGAAACTCTAGATTGTAGAGAGAGAAGTTCTTGATTGATGATTGATGATTGAAGATTGGTAATTCTAGCATTTTCTCCATTGAATTGAAGCAAGTTTGTAAGGATTTCTTTTACTTTAATTCAATCTTTAGCTTATCATTTCAATTGTTTTGTTGATTGTTCAAGTTTGAATTGAATTTGTGATTGAATTAGTTTTATTGATATGATGATGATGAAATTGTTGATTAGCTTAGTTTTGATCTTGATTTCAATGGATTGTGAGTAGTTCTCTTGCTAGGGGAATGGTGAAGCATATATGAGTAATGGATTGATGTTAATTGGGGGAAATTGATGGATTTGATGTTATGATTAAATTGGTTGATTGATTAAGTGCATGTGTGTGATTAATTGAAGAGTAGCTAACTTTGATTGTTACACTAGAATGCATTGTAAGCTCGCAGTGATACGGAAAATTAATTTGTGGCTTGCTTTTGTCGATTGAGTAGATTTGCAAGGTTCTTAGTTAGAGTCTCTCGTAGTTGACACTAGCTTGACCTCTAGGAGATTAGCCTACCTTACTCTCTTGATTGCTTAATTGATTTTCCATCGCAACACTCGACTTAATCATCTCTAATCCCGATTAGCTATATCCATTCCGAGTATATGCGAATCCTAACCCCAGTGCTTGATAAATTTGATTTCATTTTGATCGTTAATTGTTTAGAATATACACACCTCACTTCGTTGCTTCGAAATAACTTAGCTTTGACATTAGCATTCACCTCCAATTCCTAGTGGTTCGACCCTCGACTTACTCTATGCTTGGTATAGGGGTGTGTTGAGAGATTACAAATTTTGTTTTAAACGAGGGTAGATTAGTTTTCAACGACCTAGTCTATGCCCTAGATTAGTGAGGCAATCTTCAATAGGATTCTCTAGCTTGCAGAAAACTATCACAGCAGAAATTGGAGGCAGTTACAAGCGTAGTAGTCTTCAGGCAGTATCCCCTACCTTGAGGAGGATAGTCACAACAAATTGGTTACTCCTAGAGACGTGTGCTCGACGGTGCAAGATAAGAGTTTCTTAACTCTTTTATCTGTTTTAACTAACGCTAATTTGCAGGTATCGGCGTTACAAGAATGATTTAAGATCGCAAAATGTTCTTAATCATTCTCCGTCTCTATCGATACTTTGACTTTTGTTTTCGAAACTTGCGTTTCTCCAAGCTCAGTCAAAGTGGGGGCTTCTGTAGACACCCAAATGTGTCTCCCCAAAACCAAACCAAGTGATGAATACCTTTCATGTCATTTGATTATCGAACATAGTGAAAGTGTGAAAAGTCTAGTGATGAGGATGTTTTTATTAAAATATCTCTTCTTGTTTTTGAAAATATTTCTTTTCTTACCCTATTTATGAAAAACGTAAATTCCAGTTTATTTTGGTCCATGATATGAGTCCAATAATGGTGTAGTTGGATGGGTCTTGAAAAGAGCTTTCCAACGATATATTATAAGCCTAATTCCGATGAAAAATGAGGAAGTTATGGCCAAAATACTAAACTGGGCCCGGTTTGGTTCTTATATGCGGCCCAATGATCTAGAGGAGAGCCTATTATTAATTATCATTCCTAAAGCTATTAGGATTGATTATGGTTTTCTAGAATACTGTTGAAGGTTATCTTAAATCCTAATGGAGTTAGGATTGATAATTATGTTTCAAAGAGTTTAAAATTGAATAAAACTACTCCTTTTGAGAATCCTTGTTTTGTACCAAATGAAATATATTCAAATATTATTTTTGTGCCTCATAATCTTTATCCAAATCTTATATGGTTGGATAAATATTGAAATTATCTTTCCAATGATATATTATAATATTAATTCCGAGCTATAACGAAAAAGATATGAATGAGATACGAAACTCTATCCAAAACTGACACCATTCCACTATTTCGGTTATATCTTTTTATATACAAATTTTTTAATTTGATTTTAATTAGGTTGGAAAATAGACTTCAGGAGCTTTCCAACGACATATTATATGACTTATTTGGATTTCTGGATCAAAAGATATGATAAAAACAATACCCACAAAAGCTGTCTTGCAGCGCTAGAGGATAGGTTTGTCGCAGGTCCTGTTGTTGGCGACAGAGGCGAGTTTTATTCTTTTTCAAACTCTGATTTGTTTTTATTGATTATGGACTATTTTATTATAAATGGGGTCCCTAGACCTAAGTTTGATATTTATGAGGGTTTTGTCCCAAATCTCTATTTCAATTATTTGATTTAATTGTTTATTTTATTATTTTCCTTGAAGTTACTAACATGTGTATTTTGTTATTATAATGAGATACGAGGCATCCAAAGAAGTACTTTAATTGCTTTATTGATATTTTGATACAGAAATCATGCTTAGGTTGTTATTTTGATTCCTAGTATCATGTTAGGATGCTTTTCTTAGTATGATTTTTAGGGTAATTTCTCATATCAATTATGATTTATATGATGTTTCCTATTTCTTTTCTAATATCATGTTAGTATCATGTTAAGGCTAAAGCTTTGATGTTTATTGTTTAGTGACATGCTAGGGTTTGTTATTAATATTATTAGTATCATGCCTAGGATCTTGCTATTAATATTATGCTTTAACATGATTATGATAATTATGATTATTGTTGGTTCGAATTATATAATTTAACGTAATTTGTTAATTAGCGAATTATTTCACGTAGTTTGTTAATTTACGAATTGTTCCACGTAATTTGTTAATTTACAAATTATTTAACGTAATTTGTAAATTTATTAATTGTTTTACGTAATTTGTTAATTTACGAATTATTTCATGATATTTGTTAATTAACGAATAATTTACATATAATTTGTTAATATTATGTTGCTTGATTAAATATTTATTGTTATTGTTTGATCACGCCTTTTATGCATGTTTAAAGGGAATTGGTATTTGTAATAACGCTTAATGAGATAATTAATAATCTTGTTTAGGAATGATTTGATTATAATTCAAGTGATCGCCAATAATCGATTTATTTGTGCATTAATATTCAACCAACATAGATTAAACAGGTTTAGGGTAAAACTAATGATTGCATGTTAGTCATATTGCGCATATGAATACGAGAAGAATAAAGTAAAGGCCTATTATTAGGGCCGGTTCTTTCTCTTTTAGATTGAATTTGTACCTTTATCTCCGAAGTTCTAGTCTTGGTTCTAGACCTATTGGAGTTAACGTTCGTTAAGGGGTGTAACCTTCACCCGTGAACGGTTTACAAGTTTCTAAAACCTGTTGCCGACTCTTTTGCTCTAGCTTCCTTCCCTTTAGACGCCACCATGCTTAAGTGTATGATCACAGTGGGGTTCAAGTTTGGGGTAATGCTTGAAATATTCCCTACACTAGCCCTGTTTTTTTTCTTTTTTCAAACTTTTTGGTGGTTTCTTCTAGCTTACTATTATGTAAGAGCATACCCAATGGATGACCCAAAATATTTGGTCTTGGATTATTATATAATTTCTTTCTCTTTCCACTCATCCATGACCACTCACATGACCAACTATGACCAAAGACTCCCAATGGTTGCCCTAAATTACTTTGGTCATGATTTTCTCTCTCCTACTTTTACTATACCCCACCATATAATCTCTCTCTTCTATCCCACCATATAATTAAAATTGTTGTTAAAAACATAATAATTCCTATAATTGTTGCACATAATTAAAATTTAAAATGCTTAATGATAAATATAATTATACAATAATTGTAATCAATGATGTATTATTGAAGCGCAAATGTAAAATACATGGACACTTAATTTAAAAGCTCGCTAAGTAATAATAATACACGATAGTACGATAACACATGCTTGATTAGAACACATTATTTAGCATTAGCTAAAACATACACTAAGCATAATTACTTAAATAAAAATACTCTTAAAGGCCTAATAATACATCATTACTGCCTATTATAAGACTCCCCATATCTAAGCCATAAATGTTCCACTAAATCTGACTTCAAGGCTCTATGGGTAACTTCATCATGAACTCGAGCTCTATTAGCCATGTAAGTCTCCAAATTAGCTGGTCGGTTACTACTGTTGCTAAATTGAAATGGGCCTTGAGAGTTTCTTCTACTTGAAGACGGGGGTTCAGCTTGCTCATATTCATTTGGATCATCATACCTTGGATCATAATATATTGCGTATGTATCTCGCTCATCCTCGACGATCATGTTGTGTAAGATGATGCAAGCTATCATAATTTTTTCAAGCATTGATACATCAAGAGCCAGAGCAGGATGCCGCACAATGGAAAAAACGAGCTTGTAGTACTCCAAATGCACGTTCGACATCCTTTCGTTGACCTTCTTGTTTTTTGGCGAAAAGACCCTCTTTTTCATTTTGGGGGAGGGATATTGTGGGAATGAATGCAGCCTATGTAGGATATATACCATCAGTGAGATAATATCCCATATTGTATTGGTGGCCATTAACGATATAGTTAACCAAAGGTGCACGATCTTCGAATATATCATTAAATAATGGAGACCTGTCAAGAACATTTATATCATTACACCTACCTGGCGTCCCGAAAGAAGCATGCCAGATCAAAAGGTCTTGTGATGCCACAGCTTCTAAAATCAAAGTGGGCTTATTAGCTCTCCTGGAAAACAATTCTTCCATCGCCAATGTATTCAATCTTAAAGGACAATTCTTCCATCGCCAATGTATACAATCAATGGATCCCATCATCCCTGGAAAGCCTCGACGTTCTCCATCTCGTAGGAGTCTGGCCATATCCTCTTCATTAGGTCTTCTCAGATAGTCATCACTAAAATAAGAGACAACTCCTTCAACAAAATGTTGTAAGGAGTCTCGCGCAAGAGATGCACTAATCCGTAAGTAATCGTCAACGGAATCAGTAGCAGTTCCATATGCAAGTAATCTTAAAGCCGCGGTGCATTTCTGCAATGCTGATGCTCCAAATCTACCAGTAGTATCTTGCCATTGTTGAAAGAACTGATGACGTTCTTCTAAAGTATGCACAATACGGAGAAAGACGTGCTTTCTCATGCGAAATCTCCGACGGAACAAGTTTGGAGGGAACACTGGAGGATCAGCAAAATAGTCATTCCATAAACGGTTGTGTCCATCTTCACGATCCCTTTCGACCAGCGTCCTTGGTGCCCTTGGAACTTGATTAACCATTTGAAAGAATTAAACTGGATTGGTCATTATGAATTCATCCATCAATCGATCAACAAGACGATTTGCTTGCCTCCGTCTCTCATAACGTCGGTTGTAGTCATCATTGGAATTTTGATTTGTGTTGGCAGATGAATTGGAAGAGTTAGAAGATGAGTTGGACGAATTAGAACTCTCAGACATTTTCAAAGCTAAGGAAGCTACTTTGATGAGAGAGCTAATAGATTATTGGTTGAGTGAAACCAAATTAAAACATATAGCAATATATAGAACAATGTACGAACTTTAATAATAGTGTGTTGTTGTAATGCTATCATTCACCATAAAAAAAAATGTACTGAAAAGAAGTTTCAATGTGATTTCATATTAATAGGTCGTGTGGTCATTTTTATGACTTATCAAAATCAATAATTGCTTCACTTTTTCAGAAGAGTAAGTCTTTGGTTTTTCCAGTGAACAATCACATCAAATTATACACCATCATTTATCAGAAAAATACAAATACGTAAGTTCATGTGAGCAATGCACAATTTTTGTTATTGTTACATCTCATCAATGTCAGTAAGGCCATTAATGCACAACTTTTTAAGAATAGTAAACTATTTAAATATGACAGTTATATATCACATAATAGTACAACTATATTAGAGCTATTTAAAAACAACATAATGACTACACATTAATTGATAATAAATAACAACTTAAACAACATGATTACAACTTCAAGTACAAAAGCGGTTACTAAACAACAAACTAATCATTCTAGAATATAACACTACTACATTTTGAAGAAATAAATTAATTGGATGGGAATAATATCTTCACTAAATTGTTCCTTCGTTCTTGATCCTCTTCTGATAAGTATGACTTTGCTTCAAGTATCTTGAACAATTCCAAGTTGATTTTCCTTTGCTTTCGTGCTTCTCTCTCCCTTTCTAGCTGAGCATTTTCAGCTTCTTTCTCTCTCTCGAACCTCAACTTCATCATCTCCATCTCAGTTTCAGATTGCCTTGTTATGTTCATGTTTTGAATAGTAAGCAACCATTGCTGAGAATTTTTCGTCGCCATGTTCATAACTTTGTTCTTACCTTTATTTTTGGTACAATCATCAATAGAGAAGAAGCCTGAACACATAGCATCACCATTGGTCGGTGTATCTGGGTTTGTTGAAGACGAGTAATTACCAGCTTCATTAATTCGAGATCTCTTTGAAACACTGGACTGGGTTGCTGTCTTCTGCTTACATGTCTCGACTGGATCTTCATTTTTCGCCCATATTTGTTCATTTTTCAGAATATCCCAAGCATGCATATCTTGGAAAACTCTAATGGTATTTTTCCTAGTTTTGTCATCTCTATAAATTCTACGCGCAACCTTAATAACATCGTCGTCAGAGTGACCACTTCCTCTCCTTGATGCAGCATGTGCATACGCACCAGAAAATTTTGAACAATTAGCACTTAGCCTTTTCCACCGACATCTAAGTGGCTCCAAAGCCCTTACTCTTAGCAAATCATCCTTCTTAATCTCTTCAGTACCTTGTTCAAATTGCCTCTCTCTAAATAATCTAACATTATTAAACATTGCCTCAACTTTTGCCCAGAATTCATTCCCCTTTTGGTTGGTATTTGTTTTTTTATCTTTACTTACCTCAAGCCAAGCTCTCACAAGGACCTCATCTTCAGCGTGCGACCAAAGATACCTTCGATCCGTATTGCCTCTACCTCCGCCTCCTACATCCTCACCTTCATCTTCTTCAGCTTCGTCATCATTATCGTCATCATAGTCAGCAGTTGATTTATATGACCAATTAAAATTTGAATTTGCACCTTCACCTTCTGACATGTTAAAATGTTGCGACATAGGGAAGGATGTTTCATTTTTAGCAAATTGACGATTTTGAAAAGGTGAGTGTCCTTCAGATGGAAGAACATTTTGAGAATATGAGAAGTTAAGAACTTGTTGTGGTCGTAAAGGGAATTGTGATATAGAACTTGGATTTGTGAAATTGATGTTATTCATTCCATAATTTGGAAACTGTGGAAAAATTAGTGAGTTTGGTTCCACTTGAGAGTTGAGATCTATTTGATAATCAGAAAATGAAGGTTGAGTATTTGAATTTTTTTTCGATTTTGAAGGATTTTTTTTCCGATTGGATTTATCCATATTCAATAGTTTTTTGGATTTTGTAGATAAAAAAAAATTACTTTAAAAGGAATGAATTGAGCTAAATGAAGAAAATGAGCTAAATGAAGAAATTGAGCTAAATGAAGGAATTGAGCTTAATGAGAAGTTGTTCAAAAATACTTCAATATTGGTCTCTTTTTATAGAGAAAAAAAATAAAGACGTTGGTAATTTTTTTTTTTTATTTGTATTTTTTAATTTATTACCGTTGCAAAAATTTGCAATGATAATAATCTAGCCGTTGTATGCATGCGTGGTGTCATCCAACAATATTGCCGTTGGTGTCATATGTTGCAAGTACATGCAACTTTTCCTTTTTCTTCCTCCAATTATAACCTGCCACTTGTCATTTACATTTTCATGACCACATTTCTAGTTTGGTCATCTTTAAGACCTGGTCATCATTTTTTTCCATCAATTTTTTCTTTGTTTCATTTTTTTAATATAAAAACTCTACTCTCTCTCCTCATGACCAAAGACTTGGTCATCCATTGGCCTCACTCTAAGTGAATTACTTATGTTAGTTGTCGTATAGATCTTAAACTCTTTTAATATTGATTTTCTAGAGACAAAGATAATTGCTTTTTCTAATAGAAGTTGGAGGATAGCTTATTAGTCATACGTGTTGATAAGTTTATGTTGTTCATTATAATTTTATTTATTACAACTTATAAAATTTAATTAGTCTAAAATAGAAAAAATTAATAATGTACAAGAAACAAAAATAAACTTGAATACTAATGGATCTTTAGTCACTTTAATACCAACTTTGTATACAATCAATCAAAGAAGATATACCTATCATTTATTTATCATTCATTTTACTTCAGTTTCATTTTAAGTTTTCATTTTTTAGCGATTGCAAGGGTAATTTGCAAGAGATTAGTGATTCTTTAATTTGTGTACACAAATTTCTTAAATAAAAAACTCAAAAAAAAGAGAACATGATAAATTGAGTAGAAATGGAATGAAATTTGAAGTATAATCATGTAATTCTAATTATAAAAGAGAAATAAAATATTTGGTTCTTGAGTTTTTATGTAGATGAATGATAAAGAGGTGTTGAAAGTGTTAGTGGTTAAGTAAGCATTATGATGTTTTACTCAATTTTATCCATCAAATGTTTATCTTATGCGTGAAGTGTTCTTTCATCACCCCTCTCTAAACCCCTAGCCCCGGATAGAAACAATTAATAAAATAGCTCTATATTATGTTTTTCATGCCAAATGTCGTCATAGATTTACATGGTAACACTAGTAGAAAAAACTAATTTGGAAGCGGTTCAAACCCTCAAAAGGGAAGCGATTTTGAACCGCTCCGGTTTGGGAGGATTCCCTTTAGGCTTTGGAAAAGAAAGCGTTTCAAACCGCTTCCCTTTTTGGGTGAAAGGGAAGCGGTTTTGGCGCCAAACCGCTTCCCTTTTGGATTTTTGGCAGCATTATGGTATGGGTAAAGGGAATCGATTTTGGCGCCAAACCGCTTCCTTTTTGAATTTTTATTTTTAATATATTATTTATAATAATAATATAATAATTATATTAGTGACCTGTGACAATAATAATAAAAATATTACTGGTTAATAATAATATATATTAATTATTAATTATATTAATATTAATATTAACTAGTAATATTAATTAATAATAATATTAATATATTATTAATTAATACTAAATACAACAAAAATACAAAGAACATTTAATTTTATAAATATCAAAATGAGTAACATCATTAATATATTTAATTAAAAGTATTATGTCATTACACCAAAATATATAAAGATAACACTCACAAATACTTCGTACTATTTAATTATAAGTAATTAATGTTAATATTTGTTGGAAATATTAAGCATTACCCCAAACTTGAACCCCATTGTGATCATATACTTAAGTATGGTGGCCTCCAAAGGGAAGGTGATCCGTGCCATTTATGGCACCTTTAGGCTATGTTTTCTTTATATTTCTATGCTCCTTTGTAGTCGTTTATGTCGTGTTTTTAGAGAATAATGCTCGATTTGCGTGTTTTTGTATTAGTTTAGAGAAATGCATGCTTTTAATGGCTTTCTTATCATTTTATTCATTTCTCGGCTATTTCTCTTGCTTCTCCGTTTCTTTGTCTTGTTTTGTAGGTACGTTGCGGGCTATATGCATGGAAATTGAAAATAGCACCCACTAGAATCAATATGCACTTTTCGGAATTGAATTTGAGTTTGAAACAAAGGAAAACGAAGGATTGCAAAGTCTCAAATAGGACCTTTGTGCATTGTTTTAGTAATATCTCAAGTTCTACAAATCGGATTAGGGCGATTCAAGTTGGATTGGAAACTAGACGTGAAGAGCTTTCCAATGATATGTCGCATGCCTTCATACGATTCTTAGATCGGAAGTTACATCCTTCTGAAGTTGGTCCTAGAAAACTGCCGCGGGCGCGGGGTTAATGCAGCTCCAAAACTGCCGTATTTGGGCAGTAAGCACCCGCGGTTGTTCCAAGGGCTCCCCGCGGGCGCGGTCCTTGGCCCTGCGGGCGCGGCTATTGTGGTGTCAGTTTCCCTACGCGGGCGCGGCCGATTTCTCCGCGGGCGCGGGTTTCTGGGTCTTTTACGATTTTAAGCTTCTTTTCTCCTTTTGTTTATATTGTTTTTGGTTTACTTTATTCTTGATTCATGTAATTCTGTAGTTTTAGAATAGTTTTCTCTCTCTTAGGTTGAGAGCTTCTCTCTCTAGATTAGGCTAGATTAGGAGTAGTTTTAGAGAGAGAAAGTGAGGAATTTCAATGGTGATTGAGAGATTGAAGATGCAAGTGTGACAATTGTGTTGGAGATCTTCTTAATTATCAATGAGCATTTCTAAACTCTATCTCATTCAATTGCTTTGTTTAATTTGATGTTTGTTAGGTTTGATTTTGATATTTGATGTTTGATTAGAGTAATTGTTCTTGATATTTTGTTGATTCTTGTTTTCCGTAGTTATTAGTTGATAGATGATGATTCTTAAATAATTTTTTGGCTAGGAATTGGGTGAAACTTGTATGATTGATTAATTGTGATTAATTTGGGAATTGTGTTGATTGATTGTTGAGATTAAAGTGATTAGTGAAGGTTTGCATGTGTGTAATTCAATTTGGCCTTGAGAATTATGCCAGATTGCATTGTAATTGCTAATGACATGAACAATTGATTTAGGAATTGCAATTATCAATTGGTTTTGATTGTGATTCTCTTAGTTTGTTATTCATAGTGAGCCCTAACTTAACAATTAGGAGATAGCTCTTTGATTCCAATTGATTGCTCTTATCATTAGTCTTCACAACCTTTGATTGGCATGCTCTTCCCAAGTTTTTGCAATTGACGTGATTACTTGTTGATCCCCGTTACTAGTGTTTTATTTCCTTGGTTACTTGTTTTGTTAGTTGTTAGTATTCTCTCTTACCTTCGTTTTCGACCTAGCTTAGGCGCATAATTGAAAGTGCTTGAACATTACCGTTCCTTTGGGTTCGACCCTTGACTTGCCTCTATACCCGTATTTAGGTTTGTTAAGTGTTTATAAATTTAGTTTGACCGAGGGAATATTAGATAGAGACCTAGTTTTCCCCTTGTCAAAATGGCGCCGTTGCCGGGGAACGGTGTCTATGTTTGAGTGTTTTTGATTGCTTGAGTCTAGGTCTTTGTGTATACTTTTCTTTTATTTGATTTTTGTTTGTATTGTATAAAATGGAAAATACCTCATTTCCTCAATTAGAGGATGAACCATTTTGAGTGTACTTTAATAGACTAGAGAACTTCATTAGTTACCATAGTTGTCATATTTGGGAGGCTTGCGAGATTTGTTATCATAATTTGAATGAGAAAACTAGAGACATTGTTGAAAGCATGTTTAATGGTGGATTTTGGGCATTGTCAATCGATGATGCTTGGGACTTTTATGTATGGTTTGCTAGAGATAGTTGTGATCGTGGTCATGGTTATTCAAATGCTTCCATTGATGATTGTTATGGTCCATGTTCCATGAATGATGAACCTTGCATGCCTACTTGTGCCCCCATTCCCCAATTTGATGATGCCACTCATATCTCTAATGTTGATCCTTGCATGCTTGCACATAATTCTTTCCCCAATGATGCTACTCAATGCTCTTCATCTTTCCAATCTTTAGATCCTACCTTTGAGTCTTCTTATAATCAAATTGGTGGTTCTTTGAGAAAATTGTAGATGAATTCTAATTTGGAACCAAATGAGATGAGATATTTGGAGATTGTGAGAAACCAAATGGAAATGTTGAAAAAGTTGGAAGAGAGTAATGAGGGTGTTTTTAGGAAGAATGAGGATATGGAGAGTCAATTGTCATCAATATTGAATGTGAATGAAATTTCTACCACATTGGTAGGTATGGAAGACGATGATGATGATTGTTTTGAGAGCTCCAAAGTATGTGAGGAGGATGTTAGAGAGCCCATGAGTGAGGAAAAGGGTGTAGAGATGGATGTTCCTAAAGAGAGTTTGCATTTTGAACCTCCTTCCAAATTTGAATTTCGTTCCATTGAGCCTTTAGATGGAGTTGAAGAGAAACTAAAAATGTTGGCTTCTCTTAATTTTGAGGAAATGGTAATTCAAGTCATGAAGGATGGGACATTGCAATTTTTGAAGCGTGAAGAAGTTGTGAGGAAAGAGAGTAAGGACGAGGAGGATGAAGTTGTCTCCATGGGAGATTGGATGTTTGAGGGTGATGAGGACCAAGAGGTTTTGAATGTTGAAAAACCAATTGGTGAGTCAATTCTCCCACCCACCTCCCTTGATTGTGATTTCATTCCTCCATTCCTTAATTTTAAAAACCAACCT